ATGCAAGTCTTATTTTATTTTAACCACAGAAAATATTTGATATTTTGTAAAAGATAATTGGACATAATATTTGAATATTAGGTTACTTGACCATGAAATCCTAGTGAGAAATTACTTGTGAGAAAGAGAAACATATCCAATACTATTAGCTAGCTAGCTGTCGACCTATTCTATTCTAGCTAGCTAATGTTAGCTACACTAAAAAAAGATGGGTTTTTAAAGGGGAACTCAGCAACTCTAGCTATTTCTTCGCTGATCTTCACTTTTGTTGTCGCATGTTTTCTCAACGAGCTCCCCCTACAGCTGTGGGACGTATATTTCACAACAATGTTGTAAAAAAAACTCACTTGCGGCCCCTCCTCCCCCTTTCTACCGCTGCTCATGTGCATTTGTTATTATCGGAGCCGGCCAACTTTATCGTGTGGAGCTATACCGAGGTGGGTAATACATCATACACAGTGAGGGCGGCGTGTGTGTTTATGTCGAATTGCCATAAAGCATTTAGCGTTTCTCACTCGTTCTCGCTTCTCACAAGACTTCCTGTTTCCAACTTACTGGGACGTTAGTCCCCATGTTGCAAGGTTGGTTTTCCGCCTAGGAACGTTGGGGGGAGCAGAGAAAGTCACCATTTTCACCAGAACAGGTTATTAAACCATCCAAATGATTTCTAAACGGTTTTATTAAGTTGAAATAGTTGCCAAATGCCCCTTTAAAGCTTATTTACATGTAATAGGCCTAAAAGTTCTATTAAGAACCGTATAGTCTTGAATAAGCCATTATGCTGAAATGGTTCGATGTGTTAAGAGTTTAGGGTCCTTTTTTCCCCGCCTTTTGATTTTAAAATCTGTAACTGTCAAAGCCACCTGAAATAACATAGGAAATGAATACGGTCATTTTAGACCCGTGTATGTAAAATTGATGTAGAAATACAAAAACTGTGTTTGTTTATAAAGTAAGAAAGAAAACATAAACATAATGATTTGTGGAAATCAAAAACAAAGATATTTAATGAATACCTGGAATAACAAATGATAAAATGCATATATTTTAAAGATTCAGCAAAGAAACACTCAGCCATGATTGAAATAACATAGGAAATGAATACGGGTCTTTTTAGACCCGTGTATGTAAAATTGATGTAGAAATACAAAAACTGTGTTTGTTTATAAAGTAAGAAAGGAAACATAAACATAATGATTTGTGGAAATCAAAAACAAGATATTTAATCAATACCTGGAATAACAAATGATAAAATACATATATTTTAAAGATTCAGCAAAGAAACATTCAGCCATCACTGAAATAACATAGGAAATGAATACGGGTCTTTTTAGACCCATGTTGCGCATTAGAAGGGGTATCCATAGCTTGCGCATCAAAGGGTTAACCTGTAACCAAAAAGACTAACACACACACCGACACACAGCTTTTCCAAGGTTGGATTTGGCCAGGCTCTAACTATAAACAGGAGAGTCCTCTCAAAACATCAAGATAATGCGTTCTTTCTCTCAAGGAGAGCTACACTTTAGTGTAAGTGTAGTGTAAGGCTTTAACAAAGAAATGGTCCCTTAAACTATTGGCTTCAATGACCTCTATATGTTTTAACACGTTGAAGACCTTTCTCAAACACAAAACAAGTCCCTATTTCATTTCTGGAAGCCGGGCTAAATGAGCAAGCACTGTTACTGCATTCAGATATCATATACAGACATTAAAGAATACTTGAAAAGAACATTTCAGTAATCACACTGGTAACTTCTATAACAAAGTAAAATCTAACAAGCCTAGCGAAGTCATTCAACCCATTTGATATTTAGAAGGAAAAATATTGAGTAATACCTTGATTATAATCAACATTAGTCGGTTCACCGGCCTTGAAAACTGGGGTTACTAGCCCGGTTTTCCAACAATTTGGTAATGTAGATTGTCTCATTGATAGATTTACGAAATAAGTGGGACTAAAATAAACTAATTTGTAATACATCAGCGTCCATCAAACTGATATCGCTGCTGTCTGGGACAAGGCTGATGATCATCACAAACAGCAGCACCCCAGCCGTTGCCTGCTTCCCGTGGTACTCGCCCTTCTCAAAATACTCTGGAGGGCAGTATATTGCTGTCCCTGAAGGAAAGAGTTTGTCTCATGTGTAAGTTTGCTTTACCACTGCATGTTTTCTTTAACTTACTGGTAAATGGCATTTATTTTAGTCACTGAAAACAATATTATTATTGGCTTTTCTTCTTCTGAGTATGTAGTTAGTGCATTGTTAATATATCACAGTATTCTTTTCGTTTAATATTTTTGTCAGCAGTTTTTTAATAAGTTTCTTTTTTTTCATCTTCATCATTGGTGAAATAAAATAATTTGTAAATGAACATTATATCTTCAGAAACTTAGTTGATGAGATTAACAATGCTGGTTATGACAAATACTCATCTGAAAGAGCTTTAGCGTGACATGTCTAATGTTGAAACACGTTTGAGAAATAAAACATACCAGTACCACACCCAAAATCAATCCATTTGACATCCAGGGTCTCCGTGTTAACTAGGAGGTTCAGCATCTTGATGTCCTGATGGATCACCCCCCGGGAACAGCACACAACAACGGCATCAATCGCCTACCACATGAAATGACGCGCCAACTCCTCACTGAAGAGGTTGCTATGATACTGCCAGAAGTGGTGAATGTCCACGCAGCGTGTGGGTTGCTCTAAGACCATTATGTACTGGTCTGGGATTGTCCTGCCACTTCAGCAACTCTATGATGTGGTGACAGCTGAGGCCTTGATTGGCCATGAGTATCAGGGCCACCTCAAGTGGATCTGGTCTATGGTCAGGCTAGAAGAAAGACAGGTTTTTTATGATGGTTAGATGAAGTCGTTTCTCAAATAAGGATTTAGGCCAGTCTCTTTCTCTATTGAAATATTTGTACTCCGTGATTTACATTAATCTTAGATGTTATAAATTGCAAACATTGACTTAGATGAGATGACACAGAGAGAACGGGCTACTTACAAGATTGATGTATAGCATGTTCTCCGTCTTCACTGCGAATTGCAGCCACCTGAAGGCCATCCTTATGGTGGGTCCCTTCAAAGACGGCACCGAATCCTCCTTTTTTTTATCCGATCTAAAGAGAGGAATACCAACCAATGCAACTATTAAATATTACAGATTCATATTAATTCTTCATTTACGTGTACTTTTGACTAGTTGAAAAAAAAAAAAAAAAAACATTCATCAAACTATTGTTCATAATCTACATTCAGCATTAATCACATGTTATGGAAGAAAGTCCTTTTTTTATTATGTGATGGTGTTGTGGGCTTTTTTATTGTGTGTAAATAATTAAGAAACTTACAAACGTCTCCTGGATGGTGCTGCATCAGTCAGTGTCCGGGTCCACCTCAACCTGATTTACCTGCTCAGCATGAGCTTTGGTAAATTTGGGGTGAGCACCACTTGGGGAAAAAAGAGGAAAACCTCCGAAACCCCCTATTTTTCTGCCTCTTATTCTTTGTTTTCTCTCCCACTCTCTCCTTTTTCTCCTGCCCGCCTCCCTCACTGATACCCACAGGTGTCTCGTCAGGACGAGGATGGATCTCCGCCTTGCAAGGTCATGGCCATGAAATTTAATGGCTCTTTTTTATTTAGTGGGGGTAGAGTCCTATTTCTGCTCTGCAGACATTATTTTGGGTTTTTCGATGTAGGCCTACCTATTTTTTTTACAGTCTATGAAGCCTACTCATATTTTTTCAGAATTCTGCCTGCAGAGTCTCTATTGGGCATTTTTTCCATTTAGTGAACCTTTGGTTTGTGAGCGGGCACATCCGTAGAGATACAGTAGGTTCTATAACCAATTCAATTATTTTTAGCCAGATTTTAATTAGGATGTCATTTTGATTTCTTAATAGCGTAATATGCTCTTAATGCTTGTCTCGGGTCATTCATAGCCTTGAAGTTCCCCGTGTTGCTGGTGTTAATACCGAGATATGTGTAGTTTTGAGTGAGTTCAAGGGACATGCTTAATCTGAAGTTATGATGTTGGTTTTGGAGACTGTGTTTCTGGGGGTTAACTGACAGATCTGACAGAAGGTGTGCTGGAGGTCTAATTTGGGCAGACTAAAATTTTGGCAGAAAGCTTTTCAGAATTTGGGCAGAAGGCCAGCCTGTTACTGGTGTTTTTGTTACTGGTGTTTTTATTACTAGTTTACCAATTATTATAATTCATGGAGTTATTAATAATTATAGGCTATCTATTACATCAACATTGCTGATCATAGCCTAGGTTAGAGTGGAATCCTATCCTATCCAATCAAAATTCATAATCTATTTAAATTCCTTAGAATAAACAATTATTTGTAGCATCTTTGTATACAATAACCAGAATTATTGTAGAGATCTTGTGCTATTGCACTATTAAATTATTCAGCTGTAGGCTATTATTCAATAAATGTATCTATATCTGAATATTTAATTTAGTATTGTACAGTGATATCAGATGCATTTTATATATTCAGAAAAGTTAGAGTTATAAGTGGTTTAAGTATAGCCTATTGTGCAATAGGCTAACCAATAAATGTTAAATCCTGTGCTAAACGTACACGTATGTATATGTTACAATTTAACAGTAAATGCACTGTTTTAAGGGGGATATCTTCCCCAAATTTTCCCCTATGCAAATTTGGAAGGTTTGTTTTTAAGTTTCAATAATCACAAAACCTTTGCATCACAATCCATTATGGGATTTTGCGCCATCTAGAGTGCATCGTAAGACTTTTACTGATCTCATAGGTTGCTTTAATCAAAACATAAATACGTAATGCATTCTATAAACTGAGATGTGGATATCAGACGCATGCAGAGTTACAAAATGCAAACTCAACCACCGCTATGCGCACAGTTACATCTGATTGGTTTGTTACTTCAGCGATTTTTCTGTACCGTCGTCTGATTGGTCCAATAGTTTTGCGATGTGTCTCCCAGCCAATCATTGCTCAATTTATGAGTTATTTATAAGTAACCAGAATGAGGAGGAAAGATTAACTTCCGTGTTTTTGCTTTAGTCTTGTGTTTTCTCCGTCATCATGGGTGCGTGTATGGCCTTGTGTTCGCTGGCGAGCTGCGTAAGTCCAAAATATTGTTTTAAAATGGCTTAGCCTACTTTTTTTTCTCCTCACTTTATGTTGTCAAACTTCAACGGGTAGGGTAAAGTAAAGACAGCAACGCATTTCATATAACGTCGGTTAGGAGATGCATTTCGTCTTCTCATAGGAGATTTAAAAGCTGTTTCCTTGTTTTGTTTACGTTTAAACTATAACTTTTTGAGAAAACATGAATAAATAACTGTATAGCCATTTCTTTATGTTATCTCAAAACTTTATAAACCATGTTTAACCTTTCTTCACGAGTTTTTCGCCCACATTTGATTTTACACTTTCCTATTCAGACTTAACATTTCATTTTACCTGCACAGTTTAATATGAATGTTTAACATACAGACCCAAGCTACTCATATAGTTGACATAGTAGGTTGTTCCCCCTGTATGACAGGGAAATGAGTGTTGCTGTGTTGAGTGAGTGTTCTTGTCCTGTAGGCGTCCTGTCTGTGCGGCTCTGCGCCATGTCTTTTATCAGGATGTTGCCCTTCTACATACAACTCCACTGTGACCCGCATGGCCTTCTCCTTTTTTCTGCTGCTGGGCACTATAGTGTCCATCATCATGATCCTGCCAGGCATGGAGACACAGCTAAAGAAGGTACACAGACTGCTGGTGTCGTTCTACAGGTAGTGCATGGGCTCACAGCATAGCTGGTGTGCTCATGAGGATCCAAGTTTGAATCTGTCCTGATGATCCCACTTCCTCTCTCTGCATTCCAGTCCTAAAAAACAAAAACAATGAAAACATATAGACCAGTGCCAGAAATGGTTTTTAGTAAAGGGCAATATTTGAGGATTTCTTCATTTGAGCACAGGAATAAACACAAATCTGTATGTTTATATTTTCATGTTTATTAAAAGAAAGTTAACCATATTTTCAATTCAGATTATTATTATTTTTAAACCGGTTCTTTGGCTGGTTTGTTTGCCTAGTCTCATTTGTGCTATGCTTTAGTAGCTTTATGAAAACAGTAATCTGTTTGCAGTATTAGTTTATACATTTTTTTGCTCTGTTCATTAACTTTTGATATGATTTTTTTGTGTGGATGTATAAACACCCACAGTATGTTTGTAAGATGTTAAAAACACATTCAGGATGTGATTTAAATACATTCTTTGATCACTGTGTAAAACTGCAGATGTTTTTTTTTTGTGAATTTATCAACAGATTCCTGGTTTTTGTGAAGGAGGCTCTTCTATACCAGGAATTGAAGGGAAGGTGAACTGTGAGATCATTGTTGGCTATAAGTCGGTCTACAGGATGTGCTTTGCCATGGCCTGTTTCTTCTTCCTCTTCTCCATCATCATGATCCGTGTGAGAAGCAGCAAGGATCCACGAGCTTCAATTCAAAACGGGTATATTTACTGTTTGCTGTTCCAGCTGGCATTCTCATAAAATCTTTACTAACTCAAATCTTTTCACTAACAAGTGTTGCCCTCTACTGTTGAAAGCTGGGGTTTTTTGATATGTGAAAAATCCTTTTTGCACAATGGTTTCTGTCTAGGAAGCCTTACATAATGACTCATGCCAATGTGACTTTTTTTTTCAGTTTCTGGTTCTTCAAGTTCTTGATTCTGGTCGCTCTTACTGTGGGAGCTTTCTTCATTCCAGATGGAGCATTCAACACAGGTAAGTAAGCTGATAAATAAGAAAATAAAGACTATAGTTCAGTAATTACATGAAAAAAAAGGTTGTTGCTGTTTTTAATATATTTTGTGTTATGGTAATTTTCACAAATATTTTTCCACTCATTACAAGTTATGGTAAATTGCCAGTGTGATCTTTGTGTGGATATTCTATTAAAATAAATCACTCTTTATTGTCATTCACCGCTACGTACTGTTTTTTTCAGTACTCATAGTTCCCATGCGTGAATCGGTGGGCGGGGCTAAAGAGGCAATAATGTAGAAGTAGGCGTTGATCTTCTGCAGGGGCAGTCTGTCGTTGCACTTTTACGTTATAATGTGACAAAATCCAAAACAAGTCGTTTTGGCTTGGTTTCAATAAAAACTGTTTTTGGACTAACAAGGAACGTTTTGATTTCTGAAACTTACAGGATATATTTTATAGCTCAAAAAACCAAGGAAAATTTGATTTCTCAATTCATGACCCCTTTAAAAAGTCCCCTAGTTATGCTTAGCTGTAAAGAATTTATTTAAAAAAAGAATGGCTCTTCTTTGTGAGTGCAGTCTCTATAAAATAAGTCACTTCAAGGTGGCATGGACAGCTGGTAAAGTCATGCCAGTTCATTGGGTCAAAAGGAATGGATGTAAAACCAAAATTTTGTCCATTGCAGTGTGGTACTACTTTGGTGTGGTTGGGTCCTTCATATTCATTCTGATTCAGCTCGTTCTGCTGGTGGATTTTGCTCACACCTGGAACCAAAAGTGGGTGGAGAACGCAGAGGAAGGGAACCGTAAATGCTGGTATGCAGGTATGTTCAGCAACATTGTTTCCCCATGACTAAGGTTTAAAACTGATGAAGGTAAAAGCTGAAAGAATGTGAAACGATAGAGTCACAAGCATTAAAAGCTATTCTGTCCTAACCAGCGGCAGCATTGAGAAGCACTTTGTTTCCTTTTTTTCACTTGGACTTTTTTTCACAGACTATGATGATGCAATTCCACAGTTACTAACATCGTAAATCTAGGAAAGTTTTTTATTTTTTATAAAAAAATTTCATTTGATGTGTTTTATAGCACTATAGTTTGTGTTATATTACTTTGGCATTAAATTACAGAGAACTAGTTAACGCTGCAACATGAGTGTTTATAATACAACAGCTGAGGGAGTGACGGCTAATTTGACATCTTTCTTTATTATAACCAATGTAATAAGTCTCACAATTTTTTTTTTTTTTTTTTTGCTCTTTTGTAAAGTCATGGAAATCGTATCATAGATTGCCTTTGGCTATTTGAGTAAATGAGAATGCTAAAATTATATTTGTTGTAGTTTCCGTTCACCACTATTGAAGTTTAGCCAACTATGACGACTTCCGCTTCAGAGAACCCCAGAAATGTGAATATTGACAGATACATATTGACAGATGTGTGTTTTCTCCACAGCCCTGCTCTCCTTCACATTGGTGCACTATATCTGTGCCTTCGCTGCTGTGGTTTTGTTCTATGTATTCTACACACAGCCAGATGACTGCACAGAACACAAAGTCTTCATCAGCCTCAACCTCATCTTTTGTATCATTGTGTCTGTGGTGGCCATCCTTCCAAAAGTGCAGGTCATTCCCACACTCATTTGATCCATTTGTGCTCATTTGTTTTCTTGTTTTTCTCTCTATCTTTATCACTCTTATGCAGCGCCAAGACTATGCTCAAAAGGTTAAAGCTGTTCTGCTTTGGGGTGTTTTGGGTTTTGTGGGAGTGTGTAGAATCAAAATGTGAACATTTGCATTGTATATGTGTTACAGGAATCTCAGCCGAGTTCTGGTCTGCTCCAGCCGTCTCTCATCTCTCTCTACACCATGTATCTCACATGGTCTGCTATGAGCAACAACCCCAGTAAGTCTCACAACCAGATCACATGTCCATACCAACAATAACCTCTTTAATGCTGTTTCACTTTTGTTGATTTGAACTGTTTGGACTGAATTACTAATTTAGTTCCTACTGTATGTTGATCCTTCTCTTTAAAAGAAAGTTTCAGAAAAACACTGGTGTTTACATGTACAATAAAAAAGTTGATTAATTAAGAATTTGACATTAAGGTGATATACATAGAAAAGTGAAATCAGAGTAAATCAGATCCCAAAAATTTGGTTTGATTTATCAGGTTTTGTTTAAACGTTCTAGAACAACGATCTATGATCTTTTACATAAGTTAAAAATAAATGATGTTTAAATACATTAGCTGTGATGTTCAGCGTCTATACAAATTTTTGTTTTTCACCTTTATTTGGATAGTACAATATCTGTTTAACTCTGACTCGGTCAGCAGCTTACTCACAAAACACCCCGAGGGCTTTAACCAAACCAACCTCAAGAAAGTCCTACCTAAATTTTATCAGCATGTTACTGTTCCCACGAGGGAAGACAACATTTTAGACCATGTGTACACACAAATGCACAGAGTGCTTACAGAGTCGTCCCCTGCCCCCACATGGGTAGTTCTGACCATTCTTCTGTTATGCTAGTGCCCTCTTATCAACCACTTCAGAAACAGGAGAAGCCTGTTTCCAAAGTCATCAGAAGATGGCCAGAGGGAGCCAATATCAGCTCTGGAGGACTGTTTTTTTTTTTTTTTTGCACCAATTGGTATGTGTTCAAAGAGGCTGCCACATCTGATGGTGTGATAAGATATTGAAGAATATGCTTCATCTGTTACACGTTACATCAACAAATGTGTAGACTATGTTGTTCCCTCCAGGAAAATAACAGATCCCCCAAACCAGAAACCTTGGTTAAAGGCAGATATCTGCTCCCTCCTCAAACTATGAGATGCTGCTTTCAGGGAAGGTGACAAAGCAGCATTGAAGAAATCAAGGAACAACCTCACTGCTGGAATAAAAAGAGCCCAGGCCACACACTCCCACAGGATCCAGGAACACCTGGAGACTAATGACCCCCGGCGAATGTAGAAAGGGCTAAAGGACCTTACCGACAACAAGAGCAAAAACTACAACAATGCTTCTGTTAATGATCCTTTTTGCCTCATGCATTGAGCAATTATTTTGAGGAATCCAACAGGAGGTGCTGTCCCTTACAACAACTAAGGTAAAAAGGACTCTACCGAGAGTGAACCAACGCAAGGCTACTGGCCCAGATGGGATTCCTGAACAGGTGTTGAAAGAACGCTCGCACCGGCTGACAGATGTCCTTACAGACATCTTTAACATCTCGCTAGCACAGTCTGTGGTTCCAGCATGCCTCAACTTCCATCTTCATTCTTGTACCAAAAAAAAAATCAACAATAACCTGCTTCAATGACTATCGGCCTGTGGGACTCGCGTCAATCATCACGAAGTGCCTCGAACGGCCGGTCATGACTTGCATCAAGACCATCATCCCACCCGCACTGGTCCCCTTACAGTTTGCTTACTGACACAATCGCTCTAATGCAGATGCCATATCATATGTCATCCACCCCGAGGGCCTTAACCAAACCAACCTCAAGAAAGTCCTACCTAAATTTTATCAGCATGTTACTGTTCCCACGAGGGAAGACAACATTTTAGACCATGTGTACACACAAATGCACAGAGTGCTTACAGAGCCGTCCCCTGCCCCCACATGGGTAGTTCTGACCATTCTTCTGTTATGCTAGTGCCCTCTTATCAACCACTTCAGAAACAGGAGAAGCCTGTTTCCAAAGTCATCAGAAGATGGCCAGATCTGCTCCCTCCTCAAACTATGAGATGCTGCTTTCAGGGAAGGTGACAAAGCAGCATGGAAGAAATCAAGGAACAACCTCACTGCTGGAATAAAAAGAGCCCAGGCCACACACTCCCACAGGATCCAGGAACACCTGGAGACTAATGACCCCCGGCGAATGTAGAAAGGGCTAAAGGACCTTACCGACAACAAGAGCAAAAACTACAACAATGCTTCTGTTAATGATCCTTTTTGCCTCATGCATTGAGCAATTATTTTGAGGAATCCAACAGGAGGTGCTGTCCCTTACAACAACTGAGGTAAAAAGGACTCTACCGAGAGTGAACCAACGCAAGGCTACTGGCCCAGATGGGATTCCTGAACAGGTGTTGAAAGAACGCTCGCACCGGCTGACAGATGTCCTTACAGACATCTTTAACATCTCGCTAGCACAGTCTGTGGTTCCAGCATGCCTCAACTTCCATCTTCATTCTTGTACCAAAAAAAAAATCAACAATAACCTGCTTCAATGACTATCGGCCTGTGGGACTCGCGTCAATCATCACGAAGTGCCTCGAACGGCCGGTCATGACTTGCATCAAGACCATCATCCCACACACACTGGTCCCCTTACAGTTTGCTTACTGACACAATCGCTCTAATGCAGATGCCATATCATATGTCATCCACCTGGCTCTTTCACATCTGGAACACAAGAACACGTATGTCAGAATGCTTTTCATCGATTTCAGTTCAGCATTTAATACTCTGCCACAGACACTCATCAGTAAACTCTTCACACTCTGACTTTAATAACGCCACACTCTGCAACTGGGTTCTGGACTTCCTCACTTTAACAGAACTCGGGTAGTAAGGATCCACGAGAATACATCACACTCTCTCACTCTGAACACCGGACCCCATCAGGGCTGTGTTCCCAGCTCATTACTGTTCACACTACTCACCCATGACTGTATTGCTCAGCATCAGAACAATCACATCATCAAGTTCTCTGAGGATAAAACAGTGGTGGGCCTTATCAGACATAACGAGACAGAGAGGAGGTAAGAGACCTTGTGCTGTGGTGCACAGACAACAATCTGTCCCTTAACTTCAACAAGACGAAATAAGTGAGTGTAGCCTTCAGGAAATCTGCTATATTTACCCTCCACTGCACATTAACAGAGTGGCGTTGGAAAGTTCCTGGGTGTTCACATAACTAATGATTTCTCCTGGAACCAGAACACCACTTTCCTGGTGAAGAATAACGCCCAATAACGTCTACACTTCCTGAGAAGGCTTAAAAAAAGCTGGCACGAGTAAGATCATTTTTTTACAGACATAAACTTTTACAGATGTGTAGTGGAGAGCATCTTGACCAATAACATCACAGTCTGGTTTGGCAGCTGTTCTGCCGCTGACAAGCAGGCCCTACAGAGGGTGGTAAAGTCTTCCTAGAACATCATTGTGTCCAGACTTCCATCTATGGAGGACATATACAAAGTCAAGTCAAGTCACCTTTATTTATATAGCGCTTTTTACAATACAGATTGTATCAAAGCGCTTCACAGTGATAACATAACATGAAAACAATATAACAAAGCTTGTTTCTAAAAGAAAATTGCGTCAGCGTCCACCTTAAGTAAGGCAGATCAATAACATTATTGAATATTAAATGTCCCCAACTAAGCAAGCCAAAAGCCAAGGCAACAGTGGCAAGGAACCAAAACTCCATCAGGTGACAGAATGGAGAAAAAAACCTTGGGAGAAACCAGACTCAGTCGGGGGGCCAGTTCTCCTCTGGCCAACGAAGGAACAGTGCATGATTCGGGCAGCATTACAAGTCAGATTGGATCGGAACATTTAGAGTATTTATCCATTTCCATCTTTTGGAAGTCCAAGTAATCACGCCGGTATTAAGACGAGTTGTTGAGGATCAGTGCCGTCCACCATAGAGAGTCCATATCGCCGGTGTTGAGTCGTCTCTTCACAGGCTTTGTGATTGGAGCATCTGAAGTCTCCGTGAGAGGCTGGATACAAACTGGAGCTGACGAACGCCATTTTCTCGGGACTCGCGTCCGGTGCATTAAGAGAGCAACCAGAATTGTGAAGGACAGTACCCTTCCCTCTGCTGGATTGTTCTGCCCACTGCCATCTGGAAGAAGATTCAGAAGTGTCCGAGCACGGACCTCGAGACTGAAGAACAGCTTTCCCCCCCAGGCGATTAGGTTACTTAACAGCGCTGGCTGACCACTGCCATTTCCCCCCCTTAAAGCTCCTGTAGGTAACTTTTGAAAACATGTATTTGCTAAAACTGTCATTATGTCCTGACAGTAGAATATGAGACAGATAATCAAGCTCCTCTGGCTCCTCCCAGTGGTCCTATTGCCATTTGCAAGAAATGCACGCTCCCGGTCAGAAACAACCAATCAGAGCCAGGAGGCATGTCTTAGCACTGTCAATCACGCTCGTGTACGCGCTGATCACACCCATCTCTTGCACAGCGCGAGCGCGAGCCGTCGTTCAAACTCAAGATTGCCGGCGTGCTGCAGCTGTGCTTATGATGGAGAAACAACCTAAACTGCCAATTCTCGAGTGACACCTGCTCATAAAACAAAGAGGTAAAAGGAAAAAGACTGATGACGATAACCAAGCGAAAAAGAAAGAATTACACAGTTGACTCAGTGTCAAAACTCTAGCCGCATAACATGTAGATAAAATGTCACGCACTCTGCTAAGCAACAATTGAAACCTGCTAATTCACTGGCTTGTCATGTTGCTGAAATAATGTACTAGCACACCTTATCTAGGATTATATATCGCTAGAATAATTACTTACAGTAACGTTAGTTACCGTTATATTAACGTTATCTTACTAGCTATTTATAACTTATAGAAAGAGTGCAACGTTATAAAGTTACATGTAGGCTATTGGAAAATACATAATGATTTGAGGACCAAGTTTGTAGTCAAAGTATGGGCAGGCCATAGTCAATGTAAAGCATATTATTGACGTTTAGTCCCTATTAGTGAATGTGCCATATAACTTTTTATCCGCCGTTATGGGTGGCCCTGTTTACTAGCCTGCGCGTTCACGGCAGGCTCCGCTGTGGAGGATGAGCTGTGGAGGGAGGGCTGTAGCGCAGCAGAGAGCAAGGGGGTGGGACCTGTAAGTTGTGCTTGTTCAAATTTTCAGGCTAAAGCCTGGTTCACACGGCAGGATAATTAGGCCGATTTTAGCCCCGATTTACCCCTTCCAACAATCTTAAGGATGCTCCGATTATCGTAAATAATCTGATCAGATATTCCTGCCGTGTGTGGTATGTTAAGACTGCTCTCGTCTGCTCGGAAGGATGTCGGGACCGCTCCGATCTCAAATCGGGGATATCCAACATGTTGGATTTTTTTGGCCCGATTTCTCCTCGTGTGTGGTGTCTCCCGGGGACAAACGAGCACGCAGCCTGTGGACTGTGGCGTGTAGCCAATCAGAAAGCGAGGTAACGAGGCGCAGAGGAAGCACCGGGAAACAAAATCAAAATAGTCCATGCTCGCGTTGTCTCCACTTCTTTGACCATCGCCTTTTCTTTTGGTAACGTTTTTTTTCTTTTTTCGGTTAATTTAATAATAATAATTCATTACATTTATATAGCGCTTTTCTAGGCACTCAAAGCGCTTCACATGGAAGGGGGAATCTCTTCAACCACCACCAATGTGCAGCATCCATTTAAAAACAAACTACACTGGTTGTTTACTCTGAAGTCACGTTTGATCTCGAGGGATTTTGCGAGTGTTTCCGTATGACCTGGGAATGCAAGGGAGTCAAATCGGTTCGTGCGTGATGTGTTGATTTTGCCGTGTGGCTGCGCACCACACACTGTACGACCAAAACTGTTAGACCCGTGATTTTTTATCGCCGTGTGTGGGGTCTCTCAGGTTTGGAAAATCGGCCGACAATTTTAAAATCATTCCGTGTGAACCAGGCTTAAGTCAACGTTTTCTCAAAACTCCCTACTGCAGCTTTAAGGAGAGAAATTACAATAAAATACTTAAACTTGAACTTAAGTCTAACGTCACGTGTCACCGTTTCCTGGTTCAAACGCTCTATCAGATGCAAAAACAAAACAACATGGTACCAATATACTCTCACGCAGTGTTGTAAACTACCGAAAAATCATGTTCCTAAACTTTATCTCCATTCCGAAATACCAGATGGCCAAGCAGTGATTCATATTTTATGTATTGTTAAAATATTGGTGTCTGGGTTGCCATGAGTCTAATGTACACTGTGAGTTTATAAAAGCTTACCTTAAATGTGTAATACAAAATATATAGTTCTAAATAGTTCTATAAACAGCTGATTCTCACTTGAAACGAGTGAAGGTTTGGCCCCGAAAATAGTACAGGAAGGAATGTGGGAGAGAGAAGCAGACAACTCACTTGTCTATTATATTTTGTATATATTTTCGGAATATATTCTGCTGTTTTGCTAATTTACAACCACACACCCTCTCTTTTAAAAATGTGAAAAATGACTGACAAGCAAAGAGAGAGAATCTAATAGGCCATATCAGGGACAATTATTTCTCACAACACGTATTTCAGTGATTGTTTGCAGAAACTCATTTTATGTACATTTCCATTCAAAAGTTTGGGATTGGTAAGAATTCCAGAGAAGTCTCTTAATCAGCAAGGCTGCATTTATTTGATCAACAATACAGTAAAAACAGTATTATTGTAAAATACTATTATGATTTCAAAAAACAGTTTTCTATTTTTATATATTTTTAAAATTGTATTTATTCTTGTAAAGACAAAGCAGATTTTTCAGCATCATTACTCCAGTCTTCCATTTCACATGATCCTTCAGAAATCATTAATACGCATACGCTGTAAACTGTAATACATTATTTTTTAGGATTCCTTGTTTCTTAAAGTTCAAAAGAACTGCGTTTTTTAAAAAATAGAAATCTATTGTAACATTATAACAGTTTTGATCTAATAAATGCTTCCTTGCTGAATGAAAGCAATAATTTCAAGCAATAAAAAAAGTTACTGGCCTCGAACCTTTGACCAGTAGTTTATATCATTGTCTGATGGTCTCTTAATAATCGGTTTCTCACACTACATGATTCCATTACCAAAGATAGAAATCACCTGCTTACAAAAGCTATACCAGATCAAAGGAATTCTTGGAAAGACATCGGAAAATTCCAGACGCCAGTTGTTTGTTTACATAAGTGAATGCTGGGAAATAAGACATAAACACATGGAGCTGCTTGAATGGAAAAAATGACATACCTCAGCAACCTCCAGGCCAAATGTAATAGGATTTAATGCAATTAAACTTTAAAGGAGCATTTTTACTGTGGAGCACACAGTATGAAAATTGTCCCAATTAGTGGCCCTCAATCATTAACTCAGGATTATTGCATTATAGCCCAGTTAGCATGTGTAAAATGAATAACAGATTCGGTATCTATTTTAGAGTATTACTGTATGTTGTTGTTTCCTCATAAATAAACATGTACGACACCTCTCTTTTTCTCTCTGTGAACAGATCGTAAGTGCAACCCCAGTCTGTTGAGTCTAGTCAATGGCGGGCCAACAGCACCCACTCCCACCAGTGCCCCCGGTATCCATACACAGTGGTGGGATGCTCAGAGCATTGTGGGTTTGGTCATCTTCCTCCTGTGCACACTGTATGCCAGGTGAGCTTATAACCATCATCCTTACCACTGCTAGCAACAGACAAGGACTATTTAATATCATTAGTTAAATGAAAAGCAGTGATGCTGAGCAGTACATCTAATGTAAAATATTTCAATATTTTTTTTAACCGTTTGATTGTATTCAAATAAATATATGTATTGTAGAATTTGCTTTGAAATGGCTTAAAAATGATTAGAAATAAATTATAATCAAAGCATGAAAAAACATCTTTATCTTAATGCCCTCATGCTCATTATTTGTAGGAAATGCAATGTCCAACTGAAAAGCACATTGAAATCATTGCTATATTCATGATATTTGTTTATTTTACATTCCTGCGTAACGTTTGGGGTCATTAAAGGATTAGTTAAATCCAGAATTAAAATTTCCTGATCATTTCCTGACCCCCGTCTCATCCAAGATGTTCATGTCTTTCTTTCTTCAGTCAAAAAGAAATTAAGGTTTTTGAGGAAAACATTCCAGGATTTTTCTCCATGTAGTGGACTTAAACGGGAACCAACGGGTTGAAGGTCCAAATTGCAGTTTGAATGCAGCTTAAAAGGGCTTTACATGATCCCAGCCAAAGGAATAAGGGTATTATCTAGCGAAGCGATCGGACATTTTCTAAAAATATACTTTTTAACCACAAATGCTTATCTTACTGTGCGTTCACACCGCCGGCGGCGAGAGCGTCAAAGTGGCCGGAAGTCATTCATTTTCAATGAGAGCCGGCGGCGAGCTCCGGCGAGGGCGGCACGGCGCGTCTTGGACGGTGAGAGCGGCGAGGAGCGGCGAGAAGAAGTTGAAATCAGCTCAACTTTAGGGAAATGAGCTATGACGCGGTTCGGCGGCAACCAATCGGAATGTAGATGTGCTCCGTTTGAGAGGATTCCAGAGAACGCAGTCAAGTAACAAAGGTTCCGACCACATTAGTTCCCAAGCAAAATAGAGGAGAGGTTGATCATTTGAATTTCATAAGAAGGTGCGCAACATTATTTATAGGCAAGATATTCGTGCTAGAACGCTTTTTCAGCAGGAATGCAAATTAGAATAGCATTTAACCATGAACACAAAAGCCACACCAAACAAATGGCTTTTAATTTGTTTATTTCGTTAGCAAACATGTCACTATAATTGTTAAGTTCTTTCCATCGATCAATTTTCTGCAAACATAACGATCGACATGCTTGTTTGCTTCGCGGCCCCTTTAAATAAAGTTTAAAAAAAGACCAAGCATTCGATCTACGTCAGAGCATCAGAGCGTCCACGAATCTTGCCACAGCGTCGCTGACAGGGCGGCGAGAGCGAATTTTGCCGCTCTCGCCGGCGGCGGTGTGAACGTACAGTTACACTAGCTTTGCGATGCGCATCCACAACTTCACGCATTACGTAATCACGTTGGAAAGGTCACGCATGACATAGGCGAAAAACTTCTCCAACTTCAAAATAGTCCAACATCATTGTTTTACCTTTTTTTTTTTGTAAAGGGCGTTTGACTTGGTCTTTGCACATTCGCTTTGTAAACACTGGGTCGGTACTTCCGCCTCATGCGTGACCTTTCCAACGTGATTACGTAATGTGTGAAGTCGTAGAGCTACTGAAAAGCGAGCATTAGTGGTTAAAAAGTATGACCGATCGTTTCGCTAGATAAGACCCTTATTCCTCGACTGGGATCGTGTCGAGCCTTTGAAGCTGCATTGAAACTGCAATTTGGACCTTCAACCAAGTCCACAATATGGAGAAAAATCCTGGAATGTTTATTTCTTTTTGACTGAAGAAAGAAAGACATGAACATCTTCGATGACATGGGGGTGAGTAAATTATCAGGAAATTTCAATTCTGGAGTGTGAACTACTCCTGTAAGATTTTTAAACGTTTTTGAAAGAAGTCTCTTATGCTCAACAAGGCTGCATTTATTTGACCAACATTATTGTGAAATATTATTTAATTTAAAGTAACTGTTTTCTGTATTAATATAATTTAAAATGTATTTTGTGCCTGAATTTTCAGCAGCAATTCAGTCACATGATACTTCAGAAATCATTTAAATCTATTTTAAAAATTTATTAATAAATTTTTTTTTTTTACTTTCTGACCCCGAACTTTTGAACAGCACTATATATCATCATCAAATCATATTCAGTATAACGTAAATGATCAGTATATCTGCCAAAAATATTTAATATTTATTTTTTGTAAAATGTCTAACTAAGCCACATTTGACATGTTTTCTTCTCTTTTTCTAGCATTCGTTCCTCAAACAACAGCCAGGTGAACAAGCTCATGCAGACAGAGGAAGTTCAGGGGCTGGCGAGCACTGATGCCAGCGAGGGCGTCTCTGAGGATGGCGTGAGACGAGCTGTGGATAACGAAGAGGACAGCGTCACATACAGCTACTCGTTTTTCCATTTCTCCCTCTTCCTTGCCTCTCTCTACATCATGATGACCTTGACCAACTGGTATCAGTGAGTGTCTAGAGCAGGGGTATTCAGTTAAAGTTCCAAGAGGTCCGGTCTCTATATTTCCTTCCCAGCGGAGGTTTGGACTATATATACTATATATATATATATATATATATATATATATATATATATATATATTGGGTGTAACAATATACGTAATCGTATTGAACCGTTGTTCTGAGGCTTTCGGTTCGGTACGCATTACAAACCGAACGATTCGTTGGCCCATTTGAATTCGCCACAGAAGTAATAACATCTCTGCGAGATTTAGAAGCATTAAAATTTCTCCGTTATTAACCGCAGATCTCTATTAGATCAAACATCGCTGACGTGGAATCCAGGAGAAACATTGTGCCATGAATGAACTAGTTAGAGGCTTTAAGTCCACAAATCAGAAACATTCACCATGGATTTAATGTACTAACACTAACTGTAACCATGGAAGTTTGGCAGGAGTAGTAAAACGCTTTCAAGTATGTTAAACATATATTTTTCCAGCACTTCAAAACTCAAATATTATCATTTTTAAATGTTATTTTTAATGTGATGACCAAAATATTATTTGTTCACCCTTCAAAGATTACCCCTATTTATAAAACTAAAAGTTTCAAGATGTAGGAAAACTGAAACTCACACTCATTTAAAAATGCAAAAGACATTAAATTACTATTGTAACCTGTAGGTGGCTACCATTTCCACTCCCAAATATTTATTTTTTAATCGTTTTGCGTTTGAATTATTATTATTTCGACATTATCAATACAATTGCTGACCTCAAATGTTAATCTGGAGCCTTGCAAACTTAAAGTAAAACTGAAATAAAATAAACCTTTGTTTATAACTACTACAATATTATATTGATATATTTATAAGGAGCTGTTTTTGTTTTATATGCTGCTAAGACACCCCAGAGATGGGTCAAGTATAGCTCCATCATTGTTTAAAGTAAAAAAAATCATACTTTATGATGTTAGTTTTAATAAATAAATACATTTTAAATCAAGGAAATTTCTCTGGCATTTCTTTCTTTTTGCTGTACCGTGGCGCCACTGTGTCGTACCGAACCGTGAATTTTATGAACCGTTACACCCCTAATATATGTAGTCCGGACCTCTGCTCGGAAGGGTGTGTGTGTGTGTGTGTGTGTGTGTGTGTGTATATATATATATATATATATATAGGCCTATGCTCAGCGTAAATGAGTACACCCCCTTTGAAAAGTAACATTTTAAACAATATCTCAATGAACACAAAGTGTTGACAAGACTAAGTTTTATAGAACATCTGTTTAACTTATAACATGAAAGTAAGGTTAATAATATAACTTAGAGAACAACATTTTCAGTTTTACTCAAATTAGGGTGATGCAAAAATGAGTACATCCCACTGAAAGTGTCTGGAGCAAAGCTAATTTTTATACTACAAATGTCTAATTTAACAAGAATTCAACCACAAGTGAGTCTAATTATTCATTACACAGGTGTCCAGCAGACAGTTAACTATAAAAAGTTGTTACTTCCCATTTCATGCTGTCAGCAATGGCACCACATGGAAGAGAAATGTCACAAGACCTGAGAAAGAAAATCATTTCTTTACACCTGAAAGGTGAAGGCTACAAGAAGATCAGCAAAGCTTTACTTATCAGTCAGAATACTGTAGCAAAAAATTTAAAAGATGGAACTGCAACCATCTCACAGAGACGTCCAGGTCGTCCACGGAAGTTAACAGCTCAACGAGCGTCTTCTGATGAGAAGGGTTGAAGAAAATCGGCATGTACGTTCTCTGCAGTTATCTAAAGAAGTAGAAAGCCAAACCGGGGTGACTATTTCCTGTGACACAATACGGCATACACCCGCTTAGAGTTTGCCAGGGCAATTAAAACGAATATATGTATATATATATATATATATATATATATTCATAATTTAATATTATTATATTATTTATATTTAATCATATTAAATTATTATTATTTTTTTTAATTGCCCTGGCAAACTCTAGGTGGGCTTTTTGGTGGGCTATTTATATATATACAGAATCGCCCTTTTAATCTTCATAGCTAATTGGGCTCAACTGATGATATATATATATATATATATATATATAAATAAAACATCAGTTGAGCCCAATTAGCTATGAAGATTAAAAGGTTAGATCAGGTGTTAGATCAAGCTATTATTACCTTTACATTTAGATGCCTATGAAAGGCAGAAGGCCATGTGACAAAACAATATTGTATGTGGGTTCAGGGTTTTCATTTTTTAAGTCTGGGCCATTTTTATATTTTGCATAAAATAAGCATCTACTAAAAACAAACAATGTACATAATCAAAACGCCCTTATCATGAGCAGAGCAAAGTTGACTAGTAAATTTCAAAGTTTAAGTTGTCTTTCCTTGCCATCTACAAATATTTTCCCAATTATAACATTGTTTATTATGAAATGTTCTTAACATGCTGAATAATAATGCTAAATGTAGATGGAAAAAAAGAAATTGTCACAATCCTGGTTTGTCATATTTATGTCTGACAGATAAAAATATTTGCAGCATTGTTTTCTGCAGTGTTTTAACAAAAGAATCAATCTATTTTACTGCTCACTGTGTTTCTGCTACTGTTGTTAAAATAACCACGTCATCTGCAGCTCTTAATGTGGTGCTTTAGCGGGAGAGAGAAACGACACGCATGGAACGGAAAGGGCTTGAATGAAGCGCGTTTGGCTCTAGATAAAAATATTAGAGGAAATGGTGCCGAAAGATCATTACCATAAACGACCCTGAGCACTTGTGGTGTGCACCGCTCCGTTGTTTTGATGAGCTGCTCACTTTAAACCGTAGAAACTGTAAAATGGTGCTACAGTTGTCATTATGTCTCGCGGTCCGCCATTTGAATATGCCTGGTCTAGAATATCCTAAAACAGCACAACTGTGATCGCCCAGTATTTTTCCCTTTCATTTTGTCCATGGGCATTTCAAAACAGGTCTTCAATCCTCAGTAATCAGTTTGTATGGAGAAAATAATTTTTTTTTTTTTTACCTTTGGAAACAAATTGTTCCACTTTACATTATGCCGTTTTTGAGTTGAGTTCTGTGTATATGTTAATGTGAACAAATTGGGGATTGAGCGATAATTATTCCTTAAAGTAACAACAGGTCGTTTTTTGCTCTCGGGCTCCCCCTACAGTTGGGAAACAGTATTGTCCTCTACTACTGTCGTAAACTGTCATCCTACATGCACGTGCATTTGTTGACAACCATGATAGCCCTGAACACTGTAGGAGGAGGTCACATGCAGGTGTTCTCGCGTGTGTGAAATGTCTTCATCCCAGGTACAGTGGCAAATATTTCAGCATGTCATATGAATATAATTTCATGTGTTTTATTTTTTTTATAACGACAAATGATCGCGTTTACAAGCCAGCGTCATTATAGTAGCCTAGTCTATTGGTTACCGTTTTACTGAATCTATATGATACTTCAATGCAATGTTTGAGTGGTTGATAATAACCATATATCGTCAATATTATAATATCAAGCTACCATAAATGAATCTGCAAATTTTACAAATCGATTTGCATTATAGCTTGAGGCAAGACAAATAAACAAATATCACAGACATGTTAGGTATCCTAAAATATGATTTTATTAATAATCTTCCTCCTTTCTTTGTACATGTTGAGTAGACTACACTTTTTAGGTCAAACATTTGCTATTTGCATTTCATCGATTGCAAAGTTCAAATCAGAACGAGAATACTAGCGATAGCTAACCATCAAAAACTAGAATATCGTTTACTAGCTACCAGATTGATAATTCGCTACTACTCTAGCGAATTAGAGAGGTTAGAGAGAGGCATTCTTTTTTCGATGGGGGGTTTGATGCTCCCTGCACACGCAAGGTCTCTCGCTCGCTTTCTCTCTCTGGCGTCCGCGCGCGTTGCAGCACAGTCTCTGTCTCGCGTGCGCGCTCGCTCTAGATTCCGGGAGATTTGAACTAATTTGCGGTATAACTTGTCGATCACGAGTGGCTCAACAGGTAGAGATCTATAGATAAACTCATCTTTCAGGCATTTGACCGACCGGGTTGACAATTTAGCGTGAGAAACCGGGTGTGTGGCGTGTGAGCGTGTGAAACCAATCAAAAGCGGGTGTCTCACGGCCAATGCGTGAGAGTTGGCAGCTCTGCAATGTTGATCCTCGTTCTGCCTTTAACGCGATCACTTTCTCTTTTTCTCTTTTTGCTTTGCTCCGATAAAACCTTTGCTTTCTTGTTTTTCTGTGCTGCTTCGGCCATGACTATAACATTTGGCTCGCAAGTCCGATTTTAAGGAAGTGGGGGTGGTGGTGGAAGTGACGTATATGCCGTAAAGCAGTCGAATTTTGTAGTTCTCTTTGTTCGCCGGTTACTACCCGAAACCCGAAGTTTAAAAGTACGATTAAAAACGCTACAGACCCCGTCAGGCTATGGCAGACGTGTCATTCAACCTATTGTAAGTCGATGTACCATCACAAGAGACTTGGAAATATATTATGAAGGCTGAAAAGTTACCTGTTGTTACTTTAAAAAACTTTTTTTTTTTCTTCTCTTTCCTTCTCAGGCCTGAAACCGACTACGCAGCCATGAAAACCACTATGCCATCCGTGTGGGTGAAGATCTGTTCGAGTTGGCTGGGACTGGCACTGTACCTCTGGACTCTTGTGGCTCCGGTAATCCTGGCCGACCGAGACTTCAACTAAACGCCCATACGATTCTACAAGTGGCCTTATTCAGAAGCAATATACCTTATGCTGAGTTGACTTATGCGGAGTTCACTTAGACAGTACATTACAGAAGTTTTGTTTCTTAACTTTTAATTTACATTTTTGTTGTTACATAATCATAAACCTTTACCAAACCTCTTCAACTGTACCCACAAAACACCTCAGAAAGCCTGTCATAAATGATGCTTCGATCTAGGTAATGACTAAATAGGGCACTTTTATGTATAACTCTTTCTGTTTTAAAAATTATCTAGAATTCTTTGTGAATTTATGTATACTTCAATTCACATATTCTGACATCACACATTTTTTTTATACATCCATTTCTGGATATTTTATTGTTCTTTATATCTGTCTTGGGTCCAATTTTGTTACAAATTGCACTACGTTTGATCAAATCAAAGATGAATGTTTAATTGAAAATGAAGATCGCCTTATACATGTCAAGATTTTGATGAAACCTTTTTCTAAAGAACTGTATCCATTTACACTTTCAAAGCTTTATGATGACATTCCTGACCAAAAATATTCTAGTTCTGTTTTTGTACTTTATTCATTCTTATAAAACTGATTATTAAAGAAAATGTACACAAGAAGTTATGATTCATCAATCCATTTATTCAAAGCCTGCTACTGTGATACAGCATGGAAGTGTTGTTCTTATAGAAGTAGACTTCCCTTACCTGAAGAGAGTGTTTATTGAACAAGTGCCACTATTGCTCACAGTTTAGGGTTACGGATTTGACCAAATCTGAATGAGTAATAAAAAGGACTGGGGGACTCGTTTTAATAACAGCTTAAGGAGAGAGCTAGATTTGTACTGTTACAGATATAAGATATTTTAAAATTATTTTTCAGTCAGACTTGCAATTTTCATCTAGCAAATGATAAAAAGGGCAAAATCAAAAAACAAAACCCATAGACTTACACTAAAGGAAGGATGTCTAGAGACCAGAATATCATATCAAGGGTGGATTCTTAGTGAATAGTTAATATTTAAAATAATTGTATAGACCATCTATACAGACGTTCTCTGTCCAAGGCCTACACCTTGACATTTTAAAAAAAAAATTCTAAACTTGTGAAATTCATATTCACCATTTTTGCTTCTTTAAAAATCATGCTTGCATAAATATATTTGAATTTCAGTATATTTATTATTTGACTACCACAATTCACATTCAAAAATTAGAATATAAAAGACGGTTTCACTTTAATTATTGTAAGGTGTCCTTGTTAGTGTAATTGCGTGTTTAAGTACTGAGTTAAAATGTACTCATTATAGGGTTAGGATTAGGTTTTGGTTTACATTTGCAAGCAATTATGCATAATTCTACTGTTAATACTATTGTAAATACATGTAACATGGCCTAAAAGGAATTCTCAATGAAATTCTGAATGGTACACGACCCTGCTAATGAGAAGAAAGTTGAGAGGGTTGGGTGTGTTTTTTGTTGTTGTTTTTTTTCTTGGATTTTTCTACACATGAATAACAAGTGCACATAACAGACCAATTTGCCACAAGTTCAAATTCTCCAATATTATCACCTCAATTAACAGAACCTCAACCAATAACATACAATAAGACAAACATAAAAATACCAGGCAATACAATTGGTGGGTTGAAATTCTTTGGATACTGAAGTACCTTTTGTATATGTTTTGTATAACTGAGGATTTATACATGGACAGTCATTGTTATGCATGTTTGTATAGCATATGCCATTTATTGCCTCTTTGTATATGGTTACTTGTGTTTTTTTTATGTAAAAAAATAAAAGAAAGTTGGATCAATGACAACCAAACAGATATAATTTTTTTAACTTGCATCTGTTCTAACCCTGCAATGTTGTGATATGTGTCGTTATCCTTGAAGAATGTAATTTGCTAGTGATGTAATAGTGAGATCCTAAAGTGTACAGTCTGGTTGTGACGTGACTGACGGTGTTCCCTTTACGCATCACTTTGGGGTGACCTCACTAATTGTGCTCTCTCACTTTCCACCCGCCGGCTGTCCCACTGCGGGTATCTCCCTGTCTATCTTGTCGTTATTCCTGATGGTTTTATGTCAGCGTAGCGGTCCACGCGCACACACATACAGACACTCCAGGGAGCAGTAGGCAAAACTAATTCTGTTATATAACCAGTAACTACACCACCACAACATAGTCTAAAATGGGACTGTGTCTGCTTGAGTAAGGTGGCTGCCCTCGTGTCAGCACCCAAAACAGACTTTTCACAATATCAAACTCCCTCTTAAGGGACTGACTCAAATAGAGGATGATGCACTGGCTAGGGACCGTATTGCACTGCCTAAATCTGTGTGTTAGCTGCAGGGTAATTAAAGGTTCAGCTGCCCTGCCGCTGAGACTCGAGTGTGGTGTGTAGGGAGGCTGCCATGGTTATGTAGCTGGAAAAACAGCAACGGTTTACACCTGCTCCATAACAACAGTAATTGCTCCTAATGGTGTCTGATTGTGTTGGCCATTGGAGCTCATTTTAGGACCAGTGTGGGATAGTGCACCAGGGGAGAGGCAAAAAAGCTTTCATTATGAAAAATGCTGTTTAGTGGCTGTTTTTTTTTAAAGTCGGCGTGAAATGCTCTTCAGATGACGAACTTCCATCACTCATCCTCTGCCTGTTCCGTACACAACAAACCCAGTGAAACGATTCTACATATTAAATATGACACAGTTAAAGGATTAGTTCACTTCAAAATGAGCATTCTGTCATCATTTATTCACCCTTAAGTTGTTTCAAACCTGTATGCATTTATTTATTCTGCTGAACACAAAAGAAGATATTTTGAAGAATGTCACTAACCAAACAGTTGATGTATCCCATTGACTTCCATAGTATTTTTTTTCCTATTATGGAAGTCAATGGGGTACATCAACTGTTACTGACATTATTCAAAATATAAAATAAATGATGACAGAATTTTAATTTTGAAGTGAACTATTCCTTTAAAATATGTATGTGATTGTATGTATAAAAGGATATAAATAACATATTTCAACAACATTATATGACCAAAACCCACATTCGATCGTAATTGGAAGTTATTACAAACACTCAATTGTGGTTTAAAGTGGGTTTTGAGTAAAAGCATAGTATTCATTGTCTTATTTAATGCTAATTGTAGCTCTAATAGAGCAGCACAGTTGCAGTTATATTTCATGATATATTTTGTCATAATAATTTACATAAGGTCATCAGAAATGTTTTTGTTTTGTTTTCTAGAAAGTCTTTTTATAGGTGGATAAATGTATATTGGGATCAACGCGATTGGCATGCCATGCACTGCTAGAATAAAGGCTAATAATGACTGAATAAAAAAAAAAGAATAATGATAAAGGAACAATGAAGATTAGGTCTCATACTCAGCAGAGGTGTGAAAGGTTTGTCGAACGAGAGCAATTGAAACATGGGGCAGTTTGCCATGCCTGACATAGAGTGCAGGGGAGCTTACATGGGGGGCTATATTATTTTATTAGCCTCAATCACGTTTGATTTTTGATCTGGTCGAGACTTTTGTTATTGTGTGTCAGACACGGTAACAGTAATCACATATTCCACTTTTTAGAGAAAATAAGAATTAGCCTTGGACATCCAGAAGCTCCCTTCAGTAGGATTTACAGATAAAAATCTCATAAAGAACTCATAAAAATACAAAAAGTCATAATTTATAATTATAATTTTCAAACACAAACCAATGACACCTAATAAACAGCATATCATGATGAAAGCAGTTTTATTTAAAATGATTCTTGTGAAAAGTTCGAAGAAAAATCACATATATTGCTCAAAATAAATCTAAAAAGCATTGCGTAGGCCTATAGCCTAATTCATGTTTGTTAAACTTGAGTGGGAATGAACAGTTCAATGTGATTCTATACGATACACATGTGGCTGCTGCGCTGCTCTGCTAGAACGCCTAGTGAAATTTTATTCATCCAATAAAACTAAGTTGATTGAAAGTCAGTTTGGCTCAGAAAAGTGAAGTTCTGATTAAAGCTCGAGCAGCAGTTTGTAGGCTGGCTACATGCCACTTGCGTTTATATTTTATTATCTAATACAATTAATAACATGTAGGTCTGCATGGACAACAAACTCACTGTAACGATGTGAAAGCATGCAGTGGTACAAGCGTGCGGGTGCACTGCCACTGACAGCTCATTGAAGGGGGCGTGGCGCGGGGCCGCTCAATGGTCTCGTGCGGGATAGCGTGGCGCGCGGCGCTTGCGCTCATCGAAGCAGCGTGTCCTGCGCGAGATTGCAGTTCTGCTTGTGCCAGCCTGCCCTGGACGAGAGGAAAGACATGTGCCAGCATCTAACAGACCTGCCTCTCCGGACCTAAATGCTACAAGGCAATCGGTTAACCGAGTCATCGTGGAATCATAGATGGAGAGCGAACGGCCACGCTGTCAGGTAAACGTCTTTTCTGACATTGTTTTACTGAGCTTTATTGTGTACACAGATCTGTCCTGCAGGGTACAGTAACAGAACATTACATCCGAAGAACCCAAGTCTGCCCCATGCGGTCTGTAAATATGCTTTATTCGCCAGATATTTTATAACGAGGCCAAATGCAAACGTAGTGCGTCAATTATTTATATTCTAATGTCTTTGCAGTGAAGTCACATGAGCCGTATAGGGCTCATTAGGTAGGGCACACCAATCTAGGTGCCAAGGCACAGGGTGGGTATGTTGCATTGTCAGTGGTGTAAAGGGGGTCACTAAACATGTTCAGTGGCTTCGGTAAGACTACAGTCATGTGTTTCCCAGCTGCCCTCTTGTTGATAGCCATTTTAACATGCAAGCTCTTTGTTAGCGGGAGTAAACGTTAATGTTGTGGAACTGAAGTAAAATGACATCATCGCTCTTTTCTTACCGTTTATGATTTCAAGTGCAGTTTATCGCGTCATCAGGAAATCCAGACTCTCAGCACTGAGAACTTGAAGCATTAAATATAATGAAGGGCAAATACAGATTAAAGCAAATTATGCAATATAGCCTACTGAATTAATAGCGCCTGGTCAACGCGTTATTAATCTTTGTGTTATGCCGTTTTGTCGCT